GGTAGATAAAAAATTAAGGTTTCTGTAAATAAAGATGTCATGTAGAAACAAACATGTATGCTGTTTGGCAGCAAATACCTTTGTTACCACAGCACCCGGCATTTTAAAATGTTGATATTTGTATCTTTCTCTGCTGAACATTTTAAGCAGGAAGAACTGCTCTGAAGAAAGAATTATAGTAGGAAAGGAACACTATAACCATCAACCTCAGCCATGTTAGAGATTAATTCATAATGTCACTTGCACTGAAAAATTACTTGTATTTCACCTCTCTTTTTCCAAAGGTCTTTAATTCTTCCTCTGAAAAGGAATGTTATTTTTGCTGTTCAATTACGTTTTAACCATTCAATCAGATCAAGCTATATATAAACGTATGGACCCTTGTTTCAGACTCCCTTACTCAGCTTTTACTTCATGAAGAGAAGAGCTGTGTTCCAAGGTCACAACTGATTAATCTTGACCTGTGAACCTTGAAAGTGTAAAGTCTTAATATAAACGTATTACTCTACATAGTAAAGTGAAATGTACTCTGTAGCCATGACAAATAATGAACTGAATTTTTCTGACTTTACTCTTTAGTTGCTAATTAAGCACTTAACTACAAGATCTGTTAACTCTTCGGCGCTCTTTGGATAAATTATGTGCCTATAAAAAGAGTGAAATCATTTGGCCCTTTGAGCAGGTGTGATGGAGGTATCTTCTCGTCGGGTATTTTGCAAAAGATGTTTTGCTAAACCTTGAGAGTGCTCATGGTGGAGCTGCCACAGGCATGCTTCAGCCCTATAAAGAATATATTACTAACAGGCGTTAAGGCTTGTGTTTAACAAGTGTTTAAGGCTTGTATTGTGCAATATTTTTATATTACTGGTACTGTTAGGTATTTCTGGTAATATTTGTTAGAAATTAAGCCACAAGACAGAGGCAAATGAAATAGAGTTATTTTAGAAGAAAAATTTTTGCTAAATGGATACTGTCATCACAAATTCAATTATACAGTAAATTAACTAAACTAAAGTTTGAGGGGGAAAAAAACTATTTCCTTTTAGTGGCATCACATGAAGTTAAGCTTTTTAAAAGAAAATACCTTTTTTTTACATTCATTAATACGTGCTTCTGGAATGTGTATCTCATGCATCTTTCTATAAGAAAGTCTAATCTAAGCAGATGAGTGAAAGCCTGTGCTGTTGAGATGCTCCTGGTGAGCAAAAGCAAGTTGTGTTTCCAATGCCCGTTGCAGATAAGTAAGATGATCAAACACTGGTTCACACTTCAAGTGCCTGCAGTGCAGTCTCACTTAGACGGGTTTCCACCATGCGACACCAGTGATGCTGGTGGAATTACTGCAGCATACCAGTGAGGGGAACCGGGCTTCCAGAGTCCAAGAGAGATTGGAAGGGAGAGGAGTGGCAATGCCGCTGCAGCTCTGCTATGTACAGTACAAACAAGAAAAGATAACATCTATGTTCAGGTCAATCTTACAAAACAGATCCCTCATCATGTGTGCAGTTTACTGGCAGTCTCTTAGAAGAACATGAAGTATACCGCAAAATGGGACTTACATCACCTGGCACTTTTAAGTTAACCAGAAGACAGTGAAGTCAAAACAAATTTACCAGGTGCTTCTGTAATTGCAACCAGGACTGGAAACATTTACAACTGTGACAATGCAGTTAGTTGTGCTCAACAGACACCGTGAAATCATTTTCAGAATACATTAGGACAGTCTTACACGGGTGTTTTGAGCAAGTAGATACCATATTTCCTGCAGATCTGAGGCCCGATGCAATTGAAAACATAATAAATCTATTTTTACCTTTAATCATTCATTTTGAAGTACTGACAGGCACATTAGGCACTCCTGTTTAAAATTAGTTCTGTTCATGATGGAAGCAACCATTTATTCTATCAAGCTATTTGTATGCTTAATATCAGAAGACTTCTTCTGGGAGATGTTACCGTTTTTGTGTGAGGTTTCTCTGAAATACCTTGTTTCGTTCCTACAACATAGTATTGCTATCATAATTAACGTCCTAAAGCTCTGTGAATTGTATGTCATTAAAATTTCCTTTAACCTGCAGACTCCTCTGGGAAACAAAATACAAATCCACTCTCAAGAAACTAAACAGTAAGATAAAAGGATGGCTGTTTTAGGAAATGCCAAACTTTGACCCCACCATTGCATTTTACCATCAGGAAGGGTGCTGCAGCCATGACAAACCAGCAATGGATTCTTCGCCTGTGGCGCATGCAGGGCTGCAGCGGTCAGTCTTCACAATGGTACCTCCAGCTGCTGTCTTTGGGCCCAAGGCCAGTAACAAATAACATAATAAGTAATAAATAAAATCTTCCTCTAAGCACATACTCTGATCAGATGCTCTAGGAGCACAGAGGAACCCAAACCCTGTTTCTGACACTGCACTACCAATTCCACTAGTCACATTTTCTTAATGTAGTTTCCTTTTAAAGGTTTTGGAGGACTGATGAGCACATGAAACAATCTTCCACATTTTAAACCAGTAGTACTGTTCCAGCATATTCCCCAGTGCCTAGGCAGCTCGCAGAATAGCCATCAGCTTTGCATACGTCTGAAGTGCCTACATACTTAGTAAGACTCATTTAGAGAGATAAAATGAGATTTTTAAACCAGGTGTCAATTTGTATCTAAAGCTGCCCACCACCACAGGAGAACACACAGCAATTCCTCCTCTAGACACTGTGCAATTTCACTGCCATCTTCCCAGAAGAACAAGTGTGAAGGTGGCAAGGTTTTGGCCGTCACAAAAGTCTTGAAGGTGGCATATTACATTTATTTACTACAAACTCCATCTGATCTAAATCAACATAGGCTCATCACTTCTGGACACTCCATTTGAAATGATTGTTACTATTCCTGTGGTTGGGTTGATCAGCCACTGGATGTCACTATTAGTCCGAATACATAAACCCAAACAGCATTTGTTTGGCATTAGAAAATTTTTAAAGACAGGATGAATCTGAGCACACTACAGAGCAATAATACTTTCAGATGCTGAAAGCATTTGCTCAAGTCTCACATTTTTATCAAGTATATGGTATAAGAAGTGCCTGATTTAATATTTTTTCTCTTTTTTTGGTGATTCATTTATGAATCTGATAGCAACTCATGTTCTCAATTTCACCCCTGTCCTGACAACAAATTCATGTCCTGTGCCATGTGCTAATTTCTACGCAGAACCAGCATGCAGACTCCGGCATCCTGCAAAGTGTTCCTGAGTTAGCCCCAGCTACATTGCGATTTTTTCCAGGGATGAAGAGCACCTTTTCCACACCCCTGGTATAGCTCACTGTCTCCCTCCCATGGACAGCCCGTATAAAGATGTTTCAGAGCTGGCTGGCTTTCAGTGAAGGTAACAGACGCCTTGAGATCTTAAATTCCAAATTTGATTCTGTCTGATCAAAACGCGTCCAGAGTCACAGCTACACAAAATGTCCCAGATCAGGAGCTGTCAAGATACACTGTTGAATTAGGAGAGGAGAAAGGGAAACTTTTATTCTTTATCTCCTAAGATCTTCAAGTATCAAGTATCAAAGTACAGAAAACTAAGATAAACTAAACTAATGTTCTTCTTTGTAGGATTAAAGGCCAGAAGGTCTGTTTCTCCAAAGGGTGAGAAAAGTTTCTCTGGCAAAGTGGTTGTAGGGTGTTAGCACAACTGACCAGAATAAGCATAAAATCATTGAACAAGGTGCAAAGTAATGGAGAATCTGAGCCAAGGAGCGTAAAATGAAAATGGAAAATCCAGACAATAATAACAACAACAACAACAACAACAACAACAATGTTAAGTCCAACTCTACCAGTTAGATGATGTGAATCATACTTTTATAAAATTCCATTTTGGCAAAGCCCCAACTATATTGCAAGGAGAGCCAGTCGCAGGCAGTACAAAACAGAAACCTGAAATGCCAGCTGCTAACTCCTTCATGTACAGGGACAGGGTAGCTATCTTGGAGCAAAAGCTGACTGTAATTCATTTTGCCTAGGGTGGAAATCTGCTGTAAGAAAATACAGAAACACTCAATAATGATGCTCAGGACAAAAAAAAAATCTCTCTTGAATGTCCTACCAATGGCAATGAAACAGCCAGTGACAAAATCACATATAAAAACAATCTAGACAAAGTTCTCTTATCAAAAAAAAAAGGTTTGCTTTGGAAATTAAGATAAACACTAGAAAACAACTTTGAAATTAAAAACACCAGACCTGATTCTCACCAGCCCCCATAACAAAACAAAACAAAACAAAACAAAACAAAACAAAACAAAACAAAACAAAACAAAACATTGGTGGTAACTGCTTTTAAGACTATGATACACAACTAGAATAAATGAAATGAGGATCGGGTCCATTTTCCTGATGGTATATACTTCTGTGTGTTTATTTCCTACTGTAAAATTAACAGCATGATTTTTCAACACTTCTTCAACCTAAAATACAAAACCATTTAATTATCCAATTGACAGTATATGAAACCATTTCATTATAAGCTCTTTATCTGAAAGAATAACACCCTTTAAGAGCAGCGCTCATAAAAGGGACTCCAAGCCAGGGCAGGAGACCTGCTGCCACTTCAAGGTCACCTTTCAGACTTGATTGCAGTGATATACCGGGTTTCTGCATGGCCCCTGTGACAGCTGGCTTGCTGGCCTTCCATTTGCTCTGTTGTGAATGGCCGCTGACTGCAGTTCAATGCTCCTCATGCTCCAGGAAAGACCGAGCATCAAACAGATCTCTCGCAGCAGCTCAGAGCAGATCGATTACATCTCTGCTTTGCCAGATGTGCACAATACAGTCGTAACACCGAAATGAGCTGAGTTTGGCTGCGCTTGACAGTCTCTGAGACAGAACAAGAGGAGGCCTCGCAGTATCAATACATCAAAGAGGAGAAGAAAAGTATTTGAAGGAAAGATATTTGAAGCAATTTTATTAAAAAGGATGACCGATTTGTTTTACAATTATTTTGAAATAATATTTTTAAATAATTAGATTGCTCTGAACCAATACTGTAATTTTAACACAGGTATAATCACTGTAAATGACATTAAGAGCTTGTCTACAGGCAAATTGCATTGCTCTGATTATAATGGGATTGTTAAAGCACAGCAAATGCCCAAGTCCAGATATAGTAGACATAGCAGAAAAGGAAGGGAAAGAAGTTATGCCAGAAAACCTAAAACATCTTGGGCTTACACTGACATAGCTATTTCAGTCAGAAGAACTCATAACTAACCAAAACAATTGCACTTGAACAGTGGCAAGGTACACATCAGCTCTGAAACACGAAACTGCAGTGGAAGCAATGCTGAAATTTTGCTACATTTAAAGCTTGAAAGAGAATCTAAGCAAATGCCATTAACGTTGCCTTTTAACGGTGTCCTTCTGCAGGTTGCACAGTAACTTGGGAAGAGGAGATGTGAAAATACCAAAGTCCAAGGGGGCGGCTTTGCAGCGTTAAGGCTGCCGACCTCCTCCAGCCAGAGCTCCGAAGGGTGTCAGTGCTACACAAAACGGCAGCTGGCCTGCAGGGACCTGTAGCAGTGATTCTCCAGGCATGCTGAAGACTTTTTAATAATAGCTTACAAAACCAATAGAGATGTTTCTCTCACCTTGAAAAGAAAAGTTACTGTAACTTCTAATCTGACAATCCAGTATCTGTACTTGTTCCCCTCTAACTCCCAAAGAAGGTGAAAAATAAAAAGCTCACAGCAAAAGGTACGCATGAACCGGTCAAGAAAAAAAGAAATTACAGTACACAAAGTTCCTAGAATCAAAATCCCTTAGGCGTCTGTTTGCCCCATTATAAGAATTTGGGCATGCTCTACTCAGTCTCTCCTTGCTGACCCTCGAGTCACACAGGGCATCCTTGGGCATGATGAAAGATGTGCAAGCTGGAGATCAGCAGGTGTGTTAGAAAAGCAGTGGCGAGTTTCAGATCAGAACGCTGACACCAGGGGAAACTCTCCATTCTGCAAACATTTCCCCCAGATCAGAGGAAACAGATTTTAAGATCATTTTAGAGAAAGCCTTTACAAAAAGTCCTGGCCACTGAAGTTCATGGCAAAATTCATGCTAACTTTAGTGGAAACAAAAGTGAGTTCAAATCAGTAACTATGTGCACCAGGTTCTTTCTCAAAAGCTGAAATGAGAGGAACAACTGACCTAAATATTCAGAAATCACTTAGTGACTGTTAGTGAATCTGTTTTTGAGTGGTTAACTACAGACTTCTCAAAGAAACTTGATCACCAGAGATAAAACTTTAACAAGACAGCACCTTTTAATGTATTTCAGTTTGAGGCATATAGAACTACTAATGACTTCAGTGAAAAACTGGGTCAGAGTTATCCTCGTCTTCCCCAAAGTGCTGTGAAACTAGATTTAAGTGTATATATATTTAAATTAATGTATAATTATATATTTATATATAATTTTGTATTCTACTTAGCAGAGATGGTAAAGTACAGTAAGTGCTGATACCATTTTGGATGGTATTCACTAAAGGACAACAGTAAAAACACCAACCACAGGGCATTTTTTTCTAAGTCCACTTTCAGCCCTGCTCGCAATAGATAAAAAATCTATATTAAATAGTGAGTCAAAAAAACCCTCTACAATTCCTAACGCACTAGGCAGAGACAGGGATATTTTGTACCTGTTAATTAACAGATATAAGATGCAATATGGATGTAAACAAACACATTTAGATGTTATTTATGGTTGCACAGATCTGTAAATAAGAAAGTAGGGATAAGTAAAGGTGTATTATTTTCCACCAATATTTCCAAACTGCTTCATTGTATGTCTACCATATGTTCACATGTACAGTCTTAAACTAAGAAAATTCAAGCACAGCATGCCTTTAGTGGACTACATCCTCAGTAAGTGTAACTCAGCAGGTAGTAAATCACAGCTGTTTGTGCTAGCTGGCAATGTAGCCCTAGATTTGCTGTAAGCATTATCTGTGCTTTCATATTTCTTAAGAAGCAGCCTGTTAAGGTTCCATTTTCAAATGTTTTTCATCAATAATGCCTAAAGGTGGCATGCTCACTAAACAATCTTGCTAGAAACAATACAAGATAAGACATAAAAGACATATTAGATTACCCAGTGCAAATGTGTCCAAATGCAACAAAAATAAATGCAAAATGCTTTGGGGTTTGTCGCTTGCAGCATGCAACAGCTTTTCCATTATGCTTTGCCTGATCCTTTGCCAGATTTCTTCAGAAAAACTGAGTGCTAGGACGAATGGAAAGAGCTTGTCTGGAGGCCACACTGTGGGAGCTGGGAAGCAGCAGGCTGGTGTTCCACTCCTGACTTGCTCTAACGCCTTACTGGGCCCTTCCTGCCTTGTTCTACCCAACTATCAATATGGACATTTAAGCTTCCTTCCCATGTAAGACTTACAGATAACAAACAATGATATCAGTGTTATTACATTTATTAACTAATGTTAATGCTATAAGTAAAAATCCAGGACCCCCCAAATGGATTGGGACTTCTAGTGGTGTGTCACATAGCTGAAGAGTTTAAATTCCTAAATCATATAATTGTTCAAACACAAATTACAGGACCTGAAGTAACTTCATACTACGATTCCAATTTTAAATGCTTCAATAGTGATTGCTGCTGCTTCCCAACTCCTCACCTGCAGGAGGGGGACTCCCTGGTTCTTACAGCCTGCATTCTATTAGCCCTTCCGGCAACGGGGTCTGTTACCATGGCCCACCACAAATACCACAACTATAATAGGTTTTTTCCACCCAAACTTGTCATATTTTTGCCAAAGTCAATCTCTTCGTCATAACTCAGAATCACCCGAAGGGATTTCCTCCTGTCCTTCCTTGCTCCACAGAAGTTTACTTCTTATCCTTCAGCAAATCTGAGCTGCAATCTTTCTCTATTTATCTCCCTCATTCCCTGCTGACCCTGTTAGCAGCTGTACTCCTACACACCATCTTTTTCTTTTTTTCTCTCTGTACCGTACTCTCTGCTTAGCTTCCTGAAGCATGACTTTACAATTGACGCCAACCATGCAACTGAGTGCAGATCTGCGTGAAGCCAGTGGGAATCCTGGAGGACATGGGAGCGCTGACGAGGAACAACCACAAGATCAGGGCTTTGGATTGCAAGGTCCTCACGACAAGACTGTGTCTGTGCATCTGTGTACACGAAGTACGTATGTACCTCCATATGTACACATACATGGGTAGGGAGGCTGCTTATTCCCAGGTGTGCTGGGAAGAAACATTTACTGATATTTCCCAGATAAGTACTATTAAAATAGTACTGCTGCCATTTCAAGAGTGTGGCCGAAATCATTTGATGCTAAGAAAGTATTCTGAAGCTGAGAAGAGCTATGTAGGCACTACTGTTATAAATAAGTTTCTAATTCCTAGTCCGAGTATGTTAGAAATAGCACAACAAATAGTTAGGCTAGAAGAATATTGTGAAGCAAAACCAACTAGATGAGTTTCATTTTCTTTTGGTGAGGAATTACTCTTTACAGTTCTCCACGGCGTAGGCTTTGAGCTGCCAGTTCCTCAGGGCAAGGTTTAAATTAAGTCTTCTTCTGCCCTTTTTTTTTTTTTTTAATCAGGAAACTATTTAATTCATTTCGGGCTTTGTAATCTTCTCCAACCCACTGTTAAAAAATAACAAACAAACAAAAGAATACCCAAAGCTAAATGTTGACTCTAAAACCCCTTTTCCAGCCTCCTATTTAATCAGCCTTGTGGCATATTGGAAAATAGATCATTTAGTTCCACTTCATTATTATGGGAGTAAAAAAAATCTTACAGCCAGGCTTAAAGCACCTAAATACCTAAAGCCATGTTCTAATCTGTAAAGCACATGGGTGTAAAACAGGCAGGCAATTTTTCATTTCCTTGGGGCAACACTGTTTATGGTGACTGGCAGGGGCTTTCTGTATTTCATCAGGCCCTTTATGAGCACACTGCCAGGCACGTATAGCCGCATTCGCTGCATTAGCGATCAGATTATGTGCAATGGAACGTCTATCGTGGCAGCTAATGGATATGTGGCTGTCGAGGGGGGCAACGGAGGGACTGCTGCTAGGAAATTTGAAATGGCTGGCTACACCCTTAGAAATATATAGGGCTTAATATGTCAAACATACACTGAAATTAGCATGAATTTAGTAGTGCTGCCCGTGAAAGCCACCTGCAATCAAAGCAAATAATTTTACCCCTAAAGTCTTGCAAAATACTCCCTATTGCCTATCCAGGAGATAGTTGCCTGCCTGCAGTCAGGATTTCTAACCACCAGAGAAGAGAGGTTCAGGAGAGGTTTTTCTAACCTGGAGAAGACTCTCATCTTCTGGTAAAAAAAAAACCCATAAAATTCTGTGGTGATACAGACATTTAGGAACAGGATTATATGATCTACTGTGATGGCAGCTCACTGGACTCAATTACAGACGGTTCGTTCCAATTGTATGTTCCTTCGGCAGATTTTGAACTGGCATCTGAGAATGTGAGATTGTTGATAAAAAAGCCCCAAATTACACTAATGACAAAGTGATAATATCTTTGAACTCATTCTGGTTTGGTTCTTTCACATGTTGCTCATCAACATTCTAATATCAAAATAAACAAATGTAAATACTGCCTGATGATGCTGGTAAAAAACATCAAGAGGGATTGAAGAATTAATTAAAATGGAAAAAAATTCTCTGGGGGAGGACCTATCTGGGACTCTTTGTTTTGAAATATGTAAAGCTGACCATTCCTTTATCTTTTCTTTTTTCTGTGACTGGGCACTGCCTTCATCCATGCATACTACTACATTAATTAACTGCCCTTAGGAAGCTGACGTGAAAACACCTTTCTCCTGGTCCAAAATGATAGAGGTATTCTAATAGCAGTTACGTTAAAATATAAGAAAAAGGCACAAAGTCCTCATTTCTTTACATTTCACAAAGATAGCGAAGCATTTCTGGACCTAGCCAGAAACAAAAACTTGTTATTTTAAGTTGTTTTTCAAAATCAATCAATTTCAGGGACTAAAATTGCTCTGCTTGTTCATTGTGTACTGGCCAGACATTATGGATATCCTTAGGTTTGCTGGAGTAGCTGCATAAACATGTACTAGTGAAGGGCATACCATGGGGCTCAGTGTATTTGGTGACGGAGGCAAGCAGCATCAGTTCAGTAATTATCATGCCCTCTATTGGGAGTCTGTGTCCTGCCACTGATAATCAAAAACTTGACCTAATAAAGCCTTTTCTCTCTCCAAGTTCCCTTGCACTGAGAGAACATCTCCCTCCTTCTTGCGTATGGCCAAAGGGACGGTCAGTCGGGGAGGGGGAAGAGATGAATAGCGGGGTGCTCTGGCGGCAACCAGGGTGTCTGGGTATTTGATCTTTGCAGGCAGCGTCTGGAAAAGCTGCATGCAGTTTGCAAGCCACAAGTTGTTATCATCTGATGCAGACACTGTGCTGTACATGGTACAGTGCAGAGTCCGTCTGGTGGTATGTTGACTGCAGAGCAGCAACACAAGGAGAGGCTTATTTAAAAATACAGACACGTAAGCAAGACAGAAACCCCACCTCCATGTGATTGTCTGAGAGGGATCAAATGGGTAGAAATGCCACAGATAGACACACTCCTCCCAGCATAATTGTTACTATCACAGCTGTGGTGGAGAGAGGGGGAGGAGAGCGGATGATGCAAGGAGCTTGGCATCGTGCTTAGCAATCGCTAGACTGCACCCTTTCGTAAGAGGCGAGGAAACGCTGGAATACACCAGAGACAGCCCAGCTCTGCGCGCAGTCACCGGGTGTGCAGAGCTGGGACTGCAGAGCCAGCAGTGACACGCTGCATCTGCTGCGCAACCCTCTGGACGCACTCAGCCTTCCCACCCTACCCGCACAAAGTTTATCCAGCAGCTGTGTGATTTACTGCAACAACACCGGTTCTTAGTCACTTATTTTCAGAGCTCATTACAAAG